TTGAATTAATTGAAAAAATTAACAATCTATATTTTGAATTTATGACAATTCAAATTGATGATAAAACTTAACTAGAGATATTTGGTGGCTCTGCTGACCACGATATCTTTAAACAAAATCACCCACGTTTAGTTGCATCCCAGCCTCTGATACATGTCATATAAAAGTATGTGCACAGAAGAAGTTGGGCAGCTGGGCAAAATTTATCATTTTCCCCTCACATTCCTCTTTGACCACCCTCAAAATAATCTACCCTCCACCCCTCTGTATCATCTTACAAGAGGTTCACATTAAACTGAGCACTGTTAATTCAAATCAGCCAGAATTGGTTGACAAGGAATACCTGTATCACACACACTGCTTCATCTGATATTAAATAGCATATTTAGTGTTTATGTCGGTGTATATGAAGAATGCTACTGTTCCTTATGCATGGCACCTGTAGGAGAAACTTGGCGAAGCAGATTAAGTGACATCTAAGATATCAACCCATTGGCCTCATGTGTTGTCCAGTATTAGAAGACGTTTGTCTTTATATGCTTAATTGTTGTATACATATGTGACATGACAGTGCAGTCATATTTTTCTGATCAGGGAGTCACATATTGCCCAGCAGTGAACTCTTTGGATTAAGTGGTAGGAATACTGCAGTGTCTGGTGATGAAGGTACATTTTGTGTGCATAGCCTGGCCACTTGCCTCCCTGCCAACTTCTGAATTGTATGATAGACCCTAATAGGTTTCAGAGTGGGACCTTATTGCAAAGAAAATACAAGTATGATTTGGGGAATTATGATTCTAATATTATTTGAAGAATAAACACATATTGCATAAAATATATGACTAGTGAAATAAATATCTGAAGGGATATTCATAAAATTAACCACATGGAACACCATTTTATGAACATATTTTGGTATGGTATGAAATATTGTGATTGAAACTTGGGAGGGGAAGAGAAATATGTGTAGGACTATAGTCAGGAGACCATGTGCAGAGTGGCTACATGGAGACCAAGAAGGAGAGGGGAGGATAATATGATACTCCTTAATAAACAGATTTCCTTATATTGGGACTGTTGCAGCTCACTTCATATTAGTAATGGCATTGCTGAATACGCTGCCCACTGTATACTGGTTTCTGTCACCCTTAAAACAAAGTATACAAGGTGTGGCAATAAAGAAACCGGATTCATGCTCTAACCCTTTATTAAAAAAAAAAATCAGACAGTCGAAATGTTATCCCCTTCAATGTAGTCCCCTCCCCGATCCCTACACCGCTCCATGCGAATTTTCCACTGTTGGAAGCAGTGCTGCAGGTCATCTTGTGTTATGCTCTTCAAGAGTTGCGTCGCTTTTGCTTTCACTGCATCCACGGACTCGAACCTGGTCCCTTTCAGCGCAGACTTGATTTTTGGGAAGAGAAAAAAGTCGCACGGTGCTAGGTCCGGAGAAT